TCCATTATATAAAAGACAATTATTGCAGAAAATTCAAACTATTGGAAAAGTGGAAAGAAGCATAGCTGAAATTCTACTATCTGGAAGATGACTACTGTTCACATTGTGATGTATGTTCATCTGGGCACCTCCATGAATACTAACACAACTGGATATAATTTTATTTAAATGAGTCCATTTAAATACATTGTTTCGTTTGTCCCCTTTAAACAGAATTGCTGTTCTATAATACACTTTTTCAATTAAATAATCTTTCATTTTATTGTGTGTCAATAAGTAAAGATCTAGATCACTTTTTAACAGTTGCATAATATTCTCTTACATGGCTACTCCGTAATTTAGTTGGTGCCACTTACTAACCCATCATCCAGAATGTCCCTGTCTTTTACTATTACAGTAAATGTTGCAGAGAATAGAATTGTGCAGAAAACCTTGTATTTTTGTCTCCTTAGATTTAAGTCTCAGAAGTGTACTATTTGCATTTAAATCCTTCATCCATTTGGAGTATGTTTTTGTATATAATGTGGGATTACTGTCTTTTCTCATATGGTCATTTGTTCCAACATCATTCACTGGAAAATACATCCTTGCCCCACTGGTTTGAAATTGCTACTATCGTATATTCATTTCCCATACAAATGGGTCTCTCCTATCCCTGTGCCAATGTTGCATTGTGGCCATTACCATAGCAAGTTCCCAGATGGGGGTATTAGACTTCAAACCTTCAAGCCATCTGCCTGTGACCTGCTGGGGTAAAGGTCCTGCCTAGGTTATTCTGTTCACAGTACACCTCAATGATATTGTTCTGCAGGATGAAACGTGGAGAGTCCTCATGTCAGCCAGCCCTGATTTGCACTGTATTAAGTGCTCTATAAATATTTTGTTTCAAGAACTGGCATCCAATAAAGTTAGCTTATGAAGAGTTTATTATAAACCTACAATATAAAATGTCAACAACATGACAGTAGCAAGGCTTTTATTGCTTTTAGTTTAGGTATTAGGAGGCATAATAAATAATCTCTTGTTCTCCCAGACTGAATTCTCAACCAATTGAGAAGATGAAGGAGTAAGAAAGATGGCAGACAAAAATACCTTTATTTCTGATAAAGCTGATACTGGAGAAGGTGGCTTATATCTGCAGGCAGGTGGGCTTCTGAATACTGCACCTGAAAATAAGGCAGACTTACTTAGATCTCACCAGCTGTGCTAGACCCCTGTAGGCTACCACCACAGATGCTAGTCCTCTCATAGAGGCAAAGAGAGAAAGAGGATACTTGTTTTCTATGGATAGGCTGACTCTCAAGAGGAGGGAGAGAGGAGGGGGCTTGGCTCTGCAAACTCAATTTCTACTTTCAAATCTACCAATCCTACTTACTATATGTCTTCCTCGTGAGAATATAAGCTTCATGAAGACAAGTACTGTATTTGTCTTCTCCACTTTTTTAACTTCCAGCACAGTACTTAGGACATTATAGGACGTCAGTGAGTATTTGTTCAATGAATGTTGTTGGCGCACTTACCTACTCAATATATTATTTTAAAATTATTGTATCATACGTTTTATATCTATGAATTGATATCTTATTATGTCCTAAATACACAAAAGTATAGGGCAAATTAATAAATAACCATTGCCATTTATGATTTTTAAAACAACTTTTGGAATATTTATATAAAAAAAGACTAGTTAGGTCTACTTTTTATGCCTTAGGATAAAGCAAAAACATAGACTACAAGAACAATCTGGCTTTGACATATTCGATGAGTACTTGTATAGAGGAAATAACAATTTTGTTTGTGTAAAATGGCAATATCTGATGTATATGCTGAGAACTTCATAAATATTTTCTCTGCTCTTGCCTCTTGGGCATTTTCTTTTGTTTTTCTTTCTTCTTTAAATCTTATATTTCCATTCTGTTTGTGTGTGTGTGTGTGTGTGTATTTAGGGATTTGTTGGTAAAAAGCATTACGTATTCTTTTTAAGTACTGATTTAAATTGGTATATTTGGTTGAATATATTTGAGTAAAAATTAGGTCTGGCTGCATAATTATGAGAGATGTTGGGATTGTAGTCAAAGGTTACATTTTTTGGTTCACTCATTTAATAATGGTTAATAAAATTTTAAAGTAAAATATCCAAGACTAAAAAGGATAAACACATTGTTTTAAAGAAAACATTTAGATAGCTAATGTACAAAAATTCATCCAATAATGATAATGTAAATGTTAGAACTTATTTCCCTTAAGCTTAAGTTGGGGAGCCACACGTGGTTTGTAGATAAATGTGGTTTTACACATGCCTTTCAGAACTGTTTAGGCTGATTGGTATTTCTTGCAGGAGTCACAGATAAATTTTCCCAAATGCATACAAAATGGATGTCGAATCCAAATAGATCATACAAAAAGAGCCCATGTCCTGACACACAACAGTTTAAGCTTTAAGTGCTAAATTATGTATTTCAAATAACAATGTTACCATGTGCCTGAGGTAATTTAAAATTCTCGCAAATTATTTGGTATCTTTTAATCTTTATTTGCTAGAGTAATCACAATAGCCTTAAAATGAGAATTTTAGAGTTCTTTGATTTTTCCCTTTAGTAGAATAATAAAATGAGAAGGATTTAATTTTCTTCTGCTTTTTAGAGTTGATGTGAGTCTTGTTCTACCAAAATGTACTGTGATTGCAGAAAGTCCTGGGAAGATTTTTCTATCCACACAAAATGCCTACCATAGTAGACTGCTGATTTTCAAGTTCATTCTCTCTAAATCTGTGCTGTCAAATAGAATTTTCTGTAAAGATAGAAATGTTCTATAATCTGCACTATCCTATATAGTAGCCATTAGTTAGATGGGGCTTTTGAGCACCCAAAATGTGGCAGGTGCACCTGAGGTGCTAAATTTTAAACTTTATTAATTTTTGGTTTATTTGTTTGTTTGTTTTGAGACAAAGTCTTGCTCTTATAACCCAGTCTGGAGTGCAATAGCGCAATCTTGGCTTACTGCAACCTCCACCTCCCGGGTTCAAGCAATTCTCCTGCCTCAGCCTTCTGAGTAACTGGGATTACAGGTGCCTACAACCATGCCTGGCTAATGTTTTTGTATTTTTAGTAGAGACAGGGTTTCACCATGTTGGCCAGGCTGGTCTTGAACTCCTGACCTCAGGCGATCTGCCTGCCTCAGCCTCTCAAAGTGCTGGGATTACAGGTATAAGCCACTGTGCCCAGCAAATTTTATTTAATTTTAATTAATTTAAACTTAAATAGCTACATGTGGCTACTCTATTGGACAGCATAGAACGTCTTTCCACTTTTAGATTTAGTATGGACATGTCCCTGGAAAAGTTGACTTTAATTTATGTGAATTCATTTAACATATTTTATGAGCATTTATTGAACACCTAGAGAGTTTATGTGCTTGGTGTCAGAAATACTTTTCCTTTGGATTTCCCGAGGCAGCTTTTTGGGGAAGGTGTGGCAACCTCACATATGTCATCCCACACACTTGTGTGAACAAGTCTTGGTAACAAGGACTCTGCTGGTTCAAAAGGAACTGGCTCTCTGTCACGCTGATCTCCAGGGCCCACCATGGCAGGGCCATCATCTGCTGGGCTGAAGGGTGAGTGGGGGCTCCTTTCACTCAGCTGTGGGCTCTGGCAGGCTCAGGCCTTTATCTGCTAGGAGGAAGGGGCACCTAGGTGAAATTCTCTCAAAGACATAAGGGCTAATGTGGCCCTGTCACAGAGATTCTTTCTCTCTCTTTACTCCACTTAGTTGCTCCTGACATTTTCCTCAACAAATTTTCAGTGGAAAAAGCAAACACCTCTTCACAGCTACCCAATACCTACTTTTTCCAGCTTTATTGAGGTACAGTTGACAAATAAAATTGTTTATATTCAAGGTGTATAATGTGATGATTTGATGTGTCTATATGTTGTGGAATGATTACCTCAATCAAGCCAAGGTATCCATTATCTCACAGTTACTTATTTTTGTGGTGAGAGCACAGAAGATCTCTCTTAGCAAATTTTACGTGTATAAGATATTACTATTAATTCTAGTCACTCTGCTGTACTTTAGGTCTTCAGAACATATTCATCTTGTCACTGAAAGTTTGTATCCTTTAATCAACATCTTCCCATGTTCCCTACCTCCTGACCCCTGATAGCTCCCCTACTCTGTTTATGTGAGATCATGCAGTATTTGTCCCTCTGTGTCTGGCTTATTTCACTTAACATAGTATTCTCCAGGTTCATCCGTGTTGCTGAAAATGGCAAGATTTCCTTCCTTTTTAAGGCTTAATAGTACTCCATAGTGTATATGTGCCACATTATCTATTTATTGTTCAACAGATACTTTAGTTATTTCCATATCTTGGCTATTATGAATAATGCTGCAATGAACATGGGATTATAAAATAACTCTTTGAGATAGTGATTTTATTTTGTTTGGATATATACCCAGGATGAAATTGCTGTGTCATCTAGGACTTCTAGTTTTCATCTTTCCAGGAACCTCCATATTCTTTTCCATAATGGCTATACTAATTTATCATCCCACCAACAATATATAAGGATTCCCTTTTCTCCACATCCTCACCAAAACTTGTTATCTTTTGACTTCTTGTTAATAGCTGTCCTAACAGAAGTGAGATGATATCTCATTGTAGCTTTCATTTGCATTTTTATGGTGATGTTGAGTACCTTTTCATGTACCTATTGGCCATTTGCATGTCTTCCTTGGAAAAGTGTCTATTCAAGTCCTTTGGCTATTTTTTTTTTTCTTTTACCAAAAGCTTTCGAGACTATTCCAAGTAATGGCTATTTTTCTTTTTAGTGAAAAAGGAACTCATGGAATGGGAGACAGTGTTTGCAAACTATATTATCCAATAAGGGATTAAGTTCCAAAACATACAAGGAACTCATACCAATCAGTAGGAATAATTAAATAATAACCCAGTTTAAAAAATGGGCAAAGGACCTACTTTTTTCCTGTTTTTCAAAGGTATCCTACCTTCTGGAAGGGGGCAGCATGGCCCATGAAGACTTCTGTGGACACACTGGTAAACTGAACCCAGGAGATTTGCAGGTATGGCCAAGGACAAGGAATTGCTGGTGGTTTAATAGTCTCTGGGTGTGCATGCTTGATCCTGCCCACTTCCAGTACATTCACCCTTTCCACATTCTCTCTGTTATATTCTTGACTACTCCCTTTCTACAGATCCTTTCACTCAGTCTGGGAACCACACAGGTCTCTTATGTTCTTATTTCATACTTTCCTTCACCCCTCAATCACTTTTTAGCCCCCACCTAGTCTTTTCCTTACATTTCTGAAAAGAGTAATCAGGAGTGATATCCCAACTTCCTTATCTTCCATTTGTTTTGCACTCACTGAAATCAGAGTTGGCCTCCCAGTAGCCTCCTTCCAAACCTTTGCTGAAGCTATTCAGGTAATGATCACTTATGATGTCCCAATTGCCAAATTCAGTAATTGTTTTAGTCCTCATCTTTCTAAACCTCTCTGCTGCATTTGAGACAATTTATTATTTATCTTCCAACTCATTTGCAGGGTTAGGCGTTATCACTGAAGACAATGACCTCGAGCCCTCCATCATGTAGTCTTGTCTGAGATATGTTACAATTTAAATCCCCCAAAATACTTGGGTCATATTTGCCAGTTTTGTAAGTCAGAACCCTATACCAGGTACTTTCTGGCATTATATATATATATATATATATATATATATATATATGTTTTGAGGAATGATAAGTTCACATATTTGAATCATAATATTTCAATGAAAGTGAAATTTAAAGACAAAAAAAGCAAAATAACAAAGTCATGGTGAAAAGTCAATAGTAACTTCTCACTCGAGCAGAACATGAAATGAAGACTGCTTGTGAAGGTAGATATGATAACTGGAAATGTCCTGATCATGGAAGTGGTGACTTCTGCCATCTGTACCATGGAGCTGCCTAGCAGCCATATGTGTGAGGCATTGGTCAACAGTTCTACCACAATAACTTTACATTGATTAGGATGATGATTGCACAGTGTCTTTCAGTTTATTCAGAGTTTTCATATGCATGATCTCTTTGTGATAAGTATTATTGTTACTATTATTATTGTTATTATTTTGAGACAGGGCCTCACTCTGTTTCTCAGGCAGTAGTGTAATGGTGTGTTCATGGTTCACTGCAGCCTTGACCTCCCAAGCTCAAGCAATCCTCCCACCTTAGCCTCCCTAGTAGGTGGGACCACAGGTGTACAACACCACACCTGGCTAATTTTATTTTTTTGTAGAGACAGGGTCTCGTTATGTTGTCCAGGCTGGTCTCAAACTCCTAGGCTCAAGCAATCTGCCTGCCTTGGCCTCCCAAAGTGCTGGGGTTACAGGCATGAGCCACTGTGCCCAGCCAAAAGAAGTGTAATATTATTCTTATCTCATTTTTTAAAATGAGGAAATTGGGATTTAAAGATGTTTTTAAAAACAGATGCCCATGGCCTCAGAGCTAGTAAATGGTGAGAATGAAAAGAGAAACCTGTTCTCCGCTTCCAAATCCAATATGTGGGCCATTTTAAGTAAGGTATTGCCAAACTAGCTCATATCTAAAGAGGATAACCAAGGTATTGAAAATATGAAGAAATGAACTGTTAAGGGAAAAGGAAAATGCTTAAAAATTGGAGGATGTCTTTGAGGGACACCAATAGCTGCCATTAGAAGAAATGCAGCATAAGAGGGTGTTTAGGTGTACCTTATACTGCATTAGAGCGGGGTCAACACATTTTTTCTATAAAGGGCAAATGGGCTTTGGGGGCCATATGGTCTCAGGAACTTCTGTGGAAGAACTCAAACTAAGACAGGTAGGAAATGCATCTATGATGTTCATACCTTCATCTCCAGATTCTGAGACTTAGTATTTGGGGCTAGCCCCTAATCTGCTCTTAATAAAGAAATGAACAAACACTTGAAGAATCTGCACAACAGTGGAGGCAATAATTATTTCTCTAAGTAGTGAGGGTTCCATTACTGGAACTGAGCAAGTAGAGACACAAGTTAACCACCCACAGTATAGTGGATACCGGGGACCTCCAAATATATCTTTAGGCCCACAGATTTATCCTCCTGTGTCTTGGAACACTGGCTGCTGATGGCTCCCAGCTGCTTCCCTCCCTAGGCACTGCCCTCTGCAGCAGGAAATTGCCTTTCCCGAAATTGTGCTTTCTCCGTGGGAATGGCCTACAGTCAATGATTTGCTGCTGTGGGGATATGAAAACTTGGCCATACTGTCTCAAGTTGCAAGAATTCTGAGGGTTCTTGTGAATTCTAGAACTCTCTGTTGGACTGGCTAAAGCCTCTGTAGTAACTGCATTACTGGTCGACTTCTTCCCCTGCCCAATTCTGCTTTTTTCACTTCTTAAGTTCTATCTCCTGGGAACACAGCCCAGTATACTATCTTCCTGCAACTCCCCATCTTAGAGCTTAATCTAAGATTCAGTGATGTCAAAGGGAGGATTCTTCCACTTGTAGGAATTCCAGTTCCGATGTGTCGACTTCAAATGAGGAAGCACAGGAAGCATTTGCAAAATTGGAAAGGGCCCCAGCAATTGTCACTGATGTTTATTATTCCTCTCAATGCCCGGGGGCTCTGACAGCAGCACCTGTAAGATGCCTCACTTAGTGATGGTGTTCTAGTTGTTCCACCTGTAGACTGATTAAGAGCTTGGTTACTTTCCTTCTTGTTGGTTTGGTATTTGCAGTGGATGACTGCAGGCCGGGGCATTCTGCACGCTGAGATGCCTTGCTCAGAGGAGCCGGCCCATGGCCTACAACTGTGGGTTAATTTGAGGAGCTCAGAGAAGATGGTGGAGCCTCAGTACCAGGAACTGAAAAGTGAACAAATCCCTAAACCCAGTAAGGATGGCGTGACAGTTGCTGTCATTTCTGGAGAAGCCCTGGGAATAAAGGTAAGCCAGGCTATTGTGTCTGTTAAACCGGAGGCATGCAGTGACGTAAGACTGGCCCCTTCTGGGTTGTCAACTTTCACTAGGTTTACCAAAATTCATGTCCCATGGGATGGACTTGATTCGTAAGTGTCAGAGTAAGTGCAACCTAAGATAACCTAGAAATTTTTGCTGCATACAAACCCTTAGAGCAGGCGTCCCCAAACTACGGCCCGGCCCGTGGGCCGCATGCGGCCCCCTGAGGCCATTTATCCGGCCCCCCGCCGCACTTCAGGAAGGGGCACCTCTTTCATTGGTGGTCAGTGAGAGGAGCACAGTATGTGGCGGCCCTCCAACGGTCTGAGGGACAGTGAACTGGCCCTCTGTGTAAAAAGTTTGGGGACGCCTGCCTTAGAGTTAGGAAAATTACAAGAAAGCAAGATCATATAAAGTTTGGTCAAAGAGCAATTTTCAAAATAATGTCTTAATATATGTGCTGATTTAGTCTAATTCCTTTCCCTTATAGTGCAATTTAATGCTTTAAGTTATAGCTCCTTAGTACTGCAGGATTGCTGCCTTTGAGAAACAACCAACAAGCAAGACCAAACTCCACAAAGATTTATATAAATTACTTATGCCCAGTTTAGTAATGTAAGGAAAGCCCATTACTACATTGCAGAAAGTTTATTTTTAAATTTTAACTTAACAATTTGTCTATCCCATACATGACATGCCTTGTACATGTTTTTCAACTGGGACTTTATACTATTTGGGTTTAGAGTCTCATCTTTTTGATCAAATAAATCAATTTAGGCTAAAGATTATGGAAATATTTGTGGGAGGAAAGCGGTGTGGCAAATGCTGAGTTAATTGCACACCAGAACTGCTTCTGGGGAGGATAAGATTCCTCACACCAACCAATTTGAGGTAATGGCAAGCTGGGTAGTGTGCTCTCCTAGGTGGAGTTTCCCAGAAGCAGACCCTGAGATGAGGATTCCCATGCAAGTGATTTTTAAGTAAGTGTTCCTAGGAGAACAGTAGAACGAATCAGGATGAGGTAGGGGAGGAAGTGAAGGAAGGCTGCCATCTCAGGCAAAGTTTTGAAGAGGGTGGCTTTAGCTTTATCCTGCAAGGGACTTTAGAAGATCAACGTGCCTCAGAGATGTCCGAGTCCATCTCTGGCAAGGGAGCTGGGCTTTCATGCTCCTTTACCCAATGGCCATTGATTATGGCCGTTAACTTGGAGGTGGAGGTACAGAAATGGTTAAAGGGATCTGAGGGGATCTGGGAGAAGCCTTGACATCGGGTACTGCACATGGCACCTTGCATTGAGTGCATCAAGATAATGAGACTTACTTTGCCATTCTCCCAGGGACAACCAGCACTTAAAGCTATTTAAAACTAACGTGTAAATTTTAATTTTTTGATGTGCAACATCAGGAATAATGGTTTGGCAGTGGCTGCTAACCAACCACTTAATGGGATTCATGGGATGGTTAATAGATTGGTCATGGTTATTGGTTGGGACTTACCAGTTTTTGCATTTCTTGAACTATAACCAAAGTTTTTTTTTGTTTTTGTTTTAACCTATACCCTGCCTAGGTATATGGATTGTTTTGTTGTGTGTTTCTAGTGCAAACAAAGTAATTGAACAACAAAAAATGAAATTTCACAAAGTTAAGCATATCTGACAGCATATCTGTCTGTCCACACCCCTGGCAGACCTATTGCTTACTTTGCCATTGGAAAAGACCCTTTGTTATGTTTATGTGACTCGTTTCTGTTTTGCCAAGCATTGGTCAATGAGTGCCCTTTTCAGCTGTTTGTAATGAGTTTCCTTCCCTTAAGCTCTGCAGAAGAGGGTTAAGATCCTTTGAGGACTTCCAGGTGTAGCAGCAAAAGATGTTGTTGGGTGTGGTATCAGGCAGAGCTAAAGGGAGCTGAATTAATACATATATGAAGCCACTCACTCTGTCTCATATGGTATTTTCCTTTCCTGTTTCCAGGATGCTGAAATTTTAGGGACATGCCTTTAGGGGACACTGAGATGGATAGTAGAGGGCAGGAAGCTCCCCTCTGCTTCAACCAAAGCATAAGACTTTGCCCGATTTTGTATATTGTAATCGTCCATAAGATTTGATTTAAAAAAAGAGGCGAGCTGTTGGCAGCTCAAAAGAGAAATCAGACCAGTTATTTAATAGATTAGCAATGCCAGTGATATCATGAATCCTTAGAGTTTACAACTACTTCTCATTTATAGAAATCATAAGGCAATTTAAGGTTTGAGCCAGTAAAGGACTTTCAAGCAGCAGACCATGTGGTCTTGTAATCACAACCAAGGATTAGAGACCAGAGGTAATGTTTTTACTTTGTAAAATAGTGTAATTATCTGTCAGCTTTTATTATTTCTTTTTGTTGAGTAAAATCTCTGAAGTGAATTATATTCTCCTAAGTAAATGATCAGTCTTTCTTATGAGTGCATTTTGATAATAAGGCCTCTTGGAACCCTGGGCAGCATTATTTTGGATTTCAAGAGGCAGTGTGGTGCAGTGGTTACCAGCATTGACTCTGGAGACAGAATGCCTGGGTTAGAATTCCTACCATGAACTAGCTGTGTGGCCTTGGGCAAGCTTGTTAACTTCTCTGTACCTCAGTGTCTCATCTTTTATAAAATAGGGGTTTTTGTGAAGATTAAGTGACTTTTTGTACATTAAACTCTCAGAATAGCACCAGACACATTGTAAGCACCACATAAGTGGCAGTTATTATTTTGATTACTTTTTGATAACTTGAACAGGAGCTGGGCTGAGATTTATATCTGCCTTCTAAGCTGAAGGGATTTGCTGTGATTTGGGAAAGGTTATTAACCTGCACTCAAGAAAGAACACCAGTGAGAGTCATTTTAAAGATGGAGAGCAACTGGCCATTTCTTTGTGGGTCTCATAAGAAACATAGTTTTGCACATCTGAAGCTGTAATATCTAATCAACAAGGAATAACTGGGTCTTACAGTCTAGATCTACCATAAAAAGAAACTGAAGATTGTTTCACATCAGGAAGATAATTTTAAGTTAAATTACAAGGTGAGGCTGAGAATATGTCTTTCAAGAGATTAATGTGTTTATAGCCAATACAGCATCAACAACAACTTCCATCTCTGCAACTAAAATATCTGGAAAATCGAATCAGTGACCATTCCAGTATTTAACTTTAACATTCAGGTGAATTACCTGAGGGTCTTGTTAAAATGAAGACTGTGATTCAGCACATCTGAGGTGGGATCTAAGAGTCTACATTTCTAACAGGCTCCCAGGTGATGCCAATACTGTGGTCTAAGGACTACTCTTTATAACTTGCATAATGGGCATGGGATCCAAGACACAGAAGTTTATGCATCTTGAGGAATCATTTGATTAAGCTCCTATAGAAGATGTCAAATGATCTAATACTGTGGATTTTGGCAAATCTTATTTAGCTTTTCTGGAACTCAGTCCCGACAGCCACGAAAAAGGTGGGGGGCGGTGGGCGTTGTATAGGATACTGTTGCTTTTATGAGCAGCAGAAGTGTCTTTTTGATACTACCAAGGGTAGCTGTATGCCTGTTTCCCAGGTTGTACGTGTCTGAGCATTTATTCAGCCCTTGGAAAGCCAAGGCAAAACAAGATTCTGCAAGGACAGTACGGTCTAAAGTGAAGGCTGAACAGGGTGAAAAGATTAAAATGGGATAGTTTGAATAGTTCCTGTCACTTTTGAAAGGTCAAAATCACATGTTTATTTCATGAGAGTATGAAATTCTCCAAACCCCATTCCATCCTTATCAGGCAACCAATCAGCAATATTTATTGCCAGCTGTCTTCGGAACACAATTCTTTTTCCAAAAACATGCCTCTACTTGTCTCCTGCTGCTCTAAATGTTGTCAGAAGCAAACCTTGAGGAGACCTCAGCCCCACTGGGGTTAGAGAAAGCCAATCTGGAACCAGATGGCCTTGGTTCAAGGCCAGCTCACCAATGACTCACTCTGAAGAAGTCACTTAAGATTGCTGTGCCTCAGTTTTCTTGTCTGTAAAATGGAGATTATAATGACCCAGCTCAGAGGGTTGCTGGGAGATTAAGTTGGCCATTACTTATAAAGACTTGGGTGTAGAGTAAGCCCTCTATAAGTGGTTGCTATTTTAACTTCCATACAAAATATTGGGGCAGTTTTTGTGTGGCCTCTAAATGTAACCAAAATCATCTTTTTTTCTGATAGGCAGTCTGTATATTCATGTGTTGGATGATAACCAAACTTTAAAAATTTTAATTTTCAAGAAAGTCTACTAAACATCTCGTGTAATTCACTCAGATCTTACCACTGTGGACTTAGCACCAGAAACAATGCCTGAGACATAAAAGATGATCAATAAATATTTTCAAATGAATAAATGAAATTATTAAAATATACATGGATACTAGAAAAAGAGAAGTGAAGGTAAAGTAGTAAGAAGATAAACAACATAGGGATTAAGAATGATTGAAATAAGTTTAAAACGAGCTTACTAAAAAGTTAAGAGAACAGTAAAATTAGGTAACTTATATCGTAAACTGTTTAAGGGATTAGGAATTAAGGAAATAAAAACCAGACTGATTTTTTTCTTTAAAGGCAGACTGTTTTGCAGGACCCGAATTGTTCTCGCAGGTTTTTTCAAGCAGTGACAATAATGGTGAACAGAGGTTCAGAGGCTTGTGGTTCCCCTTTGGAGTGTACAGGCAGGTGTCTTCTTGTCTGCTTTAGCTTTTTCCATGTGACTTTTCAGGGCATGGCTTGAGCTTCAGAATAGTGGATATACTTACCAGTTTTCTAGGAATTTCTTGCGGGTATCTCCCCTCCCTTGACGTGGGTTAGCTCTACGAGCATTGGAAGACCCCATGTCCCTCGGGCAATTCTTTCCTAGACAACAAGCAACCTGCCCACTAATCAGCCTGTGTTGGTTGTGGGTCGACAAGTAATTTATAATCAAGCCTGTAATAATCCCCAATGATTTGGA